TTAAATTTAATTATGAAGGAGATTAAGAAACAGAGGAAACAAAACCGTATATTTATTGTTTCTGTGCTTTTGTATGTGTAAAGAAAAAGCAATAAATCCAATCAACCTGTTAACTTTACCATATGTTTAATAAAGGAATATGTAAACCAAACATTTCATATTCCTGATATATTGCCTGTTGTACCGTGTACTTAGTATGTGTGGGTATGAATGGGACTTTATGATTGTACACCCCTTGATGGTTAGGGACTGATGTGAATGTACAATTTATATTTAAAGCTCTGCGAAAATTGACGGCGCTATATAAGTACCTGAAATAAAAATCAATTTTAAAAATGTACTCGGGACAAGGGGTGGGCTAGAGGGTCAGCTGCCCTGGGCGCAGAGCAAGGGGGCAGAGAATGAATGCAGGGTGGTACACCCATATGCAACATGCATTAGCAGTGGTGGAGGGGGGCGGCATTCCAAATACTTGACCTGGGCACTGGATGAACCTGTCCTGGTACTGCTTTGTACTGGTACTGCTTTTATGGCTTTGTATCCGTTTCTCATTGTATTGCTTTCTCTGTGTGAATTCCCTGTTGTTTCTGCCAGTCCCTCTGCTTTACTATTGAAAAATGACCACACTAGGCATGAGAGCACAGCATGGTAAGTTTTCTGGCTGTGCTGGAAACTCAGCTTGCTCTCCTCCAATGATCAGACTTGTGCTGATATGCCCGCCTGCATAGTCATTCACTGGGAAGAACAGTGTAATGCTGTTTCTTCTCCCTATACTCCTTATGCTGCTGAGAACAAAAAGGTATGTGATCACTTATAAAAGGAGTAAAAAAGCTTTATATAATGTATAATTTTTTAATATAAATACTTATATATATAAGCTTTGCTTTTCATTTTTATTTTCATCTGAATGGGTTGTTTTACAAGGTGAGGGTTTACATATACTTTATGTTTTAAATCAGTCAGATTTGGCAGGCTTTTTATAGTGCTATTAGGTAGAACTGAAGTCTTTTGCCATATGATCTCATGTGTGCAAGCTCCCTACCTGTGAACTCTGGGGGAATCTTAGTCTGGCCCTTCCCTATTGGTAGATCAGGCTGCATATAACATTAAAAGGACAATAGAGAGGCATGGAAGGCGAAAGAAGGCAGAGACAAGCTCAGCTATAAAGTAGAAGTCTGCTCTAAACCTAATCTAATCTTAAACCTGCTCCCATCCCCATTCTAACTAGCCTGTAGAATTAAAATTCAAGGAGGTTCAGTCACTAAAATTTTCTTCTGGCCGAGGTCCAAATAGGGTGTGCCCATCAGTGTGCCCCCTTACATTAGGTGTCACCATCAGAGTGCAACTTTACATCATGTATTCCCATCACATCAGGTGTGCCCATCAGAGTGCTCCTTTACATCAGTTGTCCCCATCACATTTCCACCTTACATCAGGTATCCCCATCAGAGTGCCCCTTTACACTCAGAGTATCCCTTTCCATCATATTTCCCCTTCAGAGTGCCACTTTACATCATATTCCCCATCAGAGTGCCCTTTTCCCTCACATGTGCCCATCAGAGTGCCCCTTTCCATAGCATGTGCCCATCAGAGTGCCCCTTTCCATAGCATGTGCCCATCAGAGTGCCCCTTTCCATAGCATGTGCCCATCAGAGTGCCCCTTTCCATAGTATGTGCCCATCAGAGTGCCCCTTTCCATAGCATGTGCCCATCAGAGTGCCCCTTTCCATAGTATGTGCCCATCAGAGTGCCCCTTTCCATAGTATGTGCCCATCAGAGTGCCCCTTTCCATAGTATGTGCCCATCAGAGTGCCCCTTTCCATAGTATGTGCCCCCTTAACATAATGTGGACCCGTCGGAGTGTCCCTTAACATAAAATAAGGGGCATGTTGATGGGCACATTTTATGTTAAGGAGTACTCTGATGGGCACATTTATAATAAGGGGCACTCTGATGGGCACATTTTATATTAGGGGGCACTCTGGTGGATACATTTTATGTTAAGGGGCACTCTGATGGGCACATTTATGTTAAAGGGGCACTCTGATGGGCACATTCTATGTTGTGCCCATCAGAGTGCACCTTAACATTAAATGTGCCCATCAGCATGACCCTTTAACATTCAATGTGCCCATCAGAGTGCCCCTGTAAGACTACACCCTACCTTGAGGGCAGACAGGAGCTGTGCTGGGATCCTTGCTGAAAGACGCTTGTGTACAGGCAGGGAGCGGGAGCTGGAGAGACAGTGAGCTGCAAAGGGCATGGCGCACAGGTGATGTCATGTTGCCATGACGACAGCCCTGCTCAGCGGCGGATCTGTCATTGCAGGCTGGTGGTCCAGAAGGGAGCGCTGCTGGGGCCGTTCTCGGACCGCGGTCCCCATTTAGTGACCGCTGCTGTAGAGGAAAGATGTGTGTATACTTACCTATTCTGAAGGTGCTCTGGTCCGGTCACATGAGCAGCTCTCAGCGGTGGCTTCAGGGGAGAGGAAGGACAGCTTATAAGAAATGCCCCATAGTAAGTCTATGGGTGATGTCACTGCCTAGGCTCTGCAGCCATTGTCGGCGATCTCTCCTCACACCTGAAGCCGGCCACTGTGGAGATCATGTGATCGGACCGGAGTGCTCCGGGAATAGGTATGTATACACATCTTTACTTTAGTCTACAGGCTCCCCCGGTACAGAGCTTAGAATGGGGGTGGAAGCAGGTTTAGACCAGACTTCAGCTTTAATAGAATAGTAGAAGTTGAGATTTATCTCTGGTGCTACTGATCACTGTTGTGGTTTTCACTGCTTTAACTGGACCTATATTTAAAATCTACAGTTTGGAGGACTAACAGGGATTCGTGAGCACAATTTAAAGTGTTACTAAACCCACAACAGTAAAATCAGTCTGTATATGCAGTAAAGCATGCTTGTTATACTCACTGTGAAACCTAAGGGGTTAATCCTCTGCATTGTGTAAAAAGGATGTTTGATCATGTCTTCTCTGATCATGTCCTTCTTCCACAGTCCCTAATCCATCTGCTGATAGTACAGAGCCCTAGGAGTCACCCTGCACATGCTCAGTTTGGTGCATATTGCTAGAGAGTTTTTTGTTATTTTTTGGGAAGGTGCATGTGATCAGCACAGGGCCAATCAGCACTGTTCAGACAGAGGGTCAGGTGTCATGCAGCCTCACAGGACAGTCAGAGGAGAATAAACACTTCTTTAACCAGTGCTCAGCTGGACACTGAGAGAAATCATGAGACTGCTATGTACTGCTGATGAGAAAAGGTATTTACAGTAGCAGTTTATATTTACTAAAATAATTGCATTTCCACATTCTGTGTACTGTGGGAAACCAGATATAGTGAATACAGGGTCCGGGGTTTAGTACCACTTTAATATGTAAAAAGAAAATAGCCAGAAAATAAACATATAAATTCCCAATCAGAGGCACCTCTGTTCTTCCAGCTTCACTGCTGTCTATCAAGACTCTGACATATCCAACCCACTCCTGTTTTTGATTACTGAATTACTCTGCTGACATAATCTGGGGTAGGATCTAGAAACAGAAAGAGCTACCCTGTGATAGCTTGCACCCCCACAAATAGGGTGGCCCCTTCACAGCCACACTGCTCTTTTGACTGAATGAAAGGTGCCTAGGCAAAACAGCAGCTGCAGATTACTGACTGTCAGTGCTACATCATTCACAATTGACTCATCTCACAACTTTGAAAGATAAAGTTGCAGATCTTAGGTCCACTTTCTGTATTCTTTATCTAATGCTCAGGCTGAACTGCTGCATGTTTGTGAGAAGTTCACATCAGCCTCCATAGGTAGCCAGAGGGCTTTAACTAACCCAAACCTGGCTTGGAACATACAAGACTCAAATTTTGTCCAATCCTGTTGTCTGCACCACCTTGTCGTCACCACCCCATTCAAGAAAATTGATTTAAAAAGCATAAGCAGGTGGAAAATTGTCAATCAAACATTGTCTGAATCCAATCAGATGCAGCCATTGTTTGGGGATTCAGGCAGTCATAGCACCCGCAACAGTCGGCAGGAGAGTTTAGTGTGGATGGGGAGTCTACGGATTTTTCTCATTTGGACTGTGTTTTGCCTCCATTACTGTTCTGGTGACAATTGTAAAAATGTTGGATTTCCCATTGTTTTCTGTCCTGATTGAGTGTACTGCTCCCTAGTACAACGGAGACAGGGAAACAAGAGGTTTAAGCTTTACAAAAAAACTGCCTATACAAATAAGAGGCGTCTGTAGATAAAAACAAACTGTGCAGCTCTGACCAAAGTAAATATGCCCTTGTTATAGGTGCAGGCCATTTATGTACCTCATGAAGCCTGACGGGAAGCAACTTATGATGTTGCTAAGAGCGTTCCTAAGTATCGCCTAGCTGTTTCCCAGAGCGCAGCGTTTAAGAGCTTGTTAGTATCAGGGGCGGACTGACAACTCATGGGGCCCCCAGGCAATAGGGGATCATGGGGCCCCTGTGTCTTTGCCCAAACTCAAAAAAGCCTATGAAAAAGGTACCAGGGGCATCTCATGGGGCCCCCTACTGACCCCGGGCCCTCGGGCAGTGCCCGAGTTTCCAAATGGTCAGTCTGCCCCTGGTTAGTATGATGGTGAAAGTGAACAATAAAAAATTGAGCACCTCTTAACAACATCCTTATCAACGTCCTAGGAGTTTTCCAGTCAGGCTTTATGGGGTACATAAAATAGCCTACACCTACAGCAACGGCATTATTCAACTTAGGTCAAAGCTGCACAGTTTGTTTTCTACAGACATTCCTTATCTGCATAGGCAGTTTGTTGGTAAAGGTGAACTAACTCTTTAAACTATTCCCCTTCCCTATTAAAAAACAACAAAGTCATTGTCTGGTTTTGCTATTGGTATACTCTAACCCTTTTCTGGAGAAGCTCTTCAAATTCAGAGCTGTAGCCATATCATATAACCCTGAGAAAACTGGAATATAATTATGGATTCTACATGTTAGAGGTACCTTAATGAGTGGCCTCCAGATCAGATCAATGTGTTTGAAAGTATCCGGTACACCAAGTGGAAGCTCCAGCTGCTTCATGTCTGCTTTTTTCTCGGCCATGGTCTGCGCCTGTGGCTTGTGTGATCGGATGTCCCAGAACATGACTGAGCTGTGAGAAAAGTTAATTCTATAAGTAACAGTAGCTGTATGTACTTGCACTGTGACCCATTATCATTCCTAAATATTCCACATAGTTTATTATATCTAGCATGAGAATCAAGCTCAGCCCTACATGTCTCATTCAATAGGACGTCCTCAGGGGCTAGGACGAAATGCGTAGAATGGAGTTTGAGCAGTGATGTCACATTCTGTGGGCTTGGACTAAGCAACACTAGTTTTATTTAAGGTTTGCCGACTCTAAGTTGTTTTTAAGTGGTGTTTATGTTGTTTCAATAAAAGTTGTGAATGATTTTGCCCATTGGAGTTTGTTCTCTTATATGTTCTGGGAAATCTCTAGAAATGCTGTGATACATTGAGGGGAATCTTCTCCAGACGTTTATAATACCAGGAGTCATGGAATGTAGACTGAGGACAATCTGGGTATTCTTTATAACATACACATACTGACCTCTGTCATTTTGGAGTCCAACCATTCGGTGAGTTACTACTTTTGTTTTGTGGTGTCGGTCACTATTTGCTCCCTTCAGTTCATCATAGATGTAGTTAAGAATCGAAATTCAAATGCAATTATCGTTATTCAGAGGTTCAGATGTATCCAAATTTCTGAATCACAATAGTAACGAATTTAAACAGATCCAAAATAAATGATAACGAAACGAATTATTCGATATTTGAAAATGGTTTTGAATTTAAAAATGGATTTGAATTCGAAATGGAAACATATTGCAATAAATACAATAAGGTATAAAAGTGAAATAAGATGATGATTCCTACTTAGGCTGCTTTATATAAGAGAATAGAATAAAACAAAAAAAAATAGAACATAAAAGAATAGAATAGAAAAAATAGAATAGAACAAGAAAAGAAAAGCATAAAGCAGAATAGAATAATATAGGATGGAAAATAAAAGAATAGAAAAGCCCTAGAACACGGGTGTCAAACTGGCGGCCCTCCAGCTGTTGCGAAACTACAAGTCCCATCATGCCTCTGCCTTTGGGAGTCATGCTTGTAACTGTCAATCTTACAATGCCTCATGGGACTTGTAGTTTGGCAACAGCTGGAGGGCCAGCAGTTTGACACCCGTGCCCTAGAATATAAAGAAATAGAATAGAAAAAAAATAAAGAGATAGAATAGAATTTAAAAGAATAGAAAAGAATAAAATAAAAAGTTAAAAAACATAGTTGTCTTCCGAAATTCGAATTTAGAATAGAATAGAAGAAAATAGAAAGAATACAGCCGTCTTCTGAAATTCTAATTTCAAAATTCAAATAGAATAGAACTATGGTCTCCAAACTGCAGTCCTTTGCTTGCCTTCATCTGGTGCTTGAATCATAATTCCTGCCACTGACACCAAGAAAGGGGCATAATTTTCCGCCACTGAGACCAAAAAATGGGGCACAATTCCTTCCACTGACACCAACAATGGGGCACTATTTCCCCCACTGACACCAACTATTTCTCCTCCTAATACCAAAGATGAGCATTATTTACTCCAACTAGTCACCGCCCCCCCCCCCCCCCCCCCCAAGTCTGAAGGACAGTAAACTGGTCCTTTGTTTAGAAAGTTTGGAGACCCCTGAAATATAATAAAATAGAAATAATGTAGCCATCTCCTGAAAGTTGAATTTTGAATAGAAAGAATATAGCCGTCATTTGAATTTTAAATCGAATAAAAAACAAGGAATATACAAATTGAATCTGAATATACAAAACTAATTTTGAAAACAAATCATTCTAACATAACGAATATGAATAAATTAAATTATTAACTTAACGAACTAATCCCAAACACATTTTTCTGTGCTGCATATCTCTAGTTTATTATTTGTGATTTGCAAGTTCTTCATTTGCAATCTGTGTTCACTGGGGAGATTTCCCTCCACTTCCCATCTCTGAGACACAAAAGGAAATTAATCTCCTCTTAAACAGGTGTCTCCATTGGAAGCTTCCCTTCTATTTCTGTTCCAGTGACAACGGAGAAACTTTAGATTTTTCATCATTCTGTCCCAGCCACAGTGGTCACCTGGACAAATAGAAAAGGTGATTCTACCCAGCAGGCAGCAATAAAAAGTCTACAGGGGTTCTAATCCTGCCATACTTTATTGTGTTGAACTCAAAGAAAAAACACCTCCTGCGCCTAAGTATGGTGGACCAGGATCTAATCAGACATCTCTCTTGATAATTACATCCTAGGGGGTACCAGGCCTTGCTGCTTTCATAGACTAGGGAAGTCGGATACCAACAAAAAAAAAACCAAAAGCGCACCAGCCTCATGCATTATCCCAGGGGTACTTGATTTGTAAATGATAAAAACATACTCACAAACAATAAAGAAATTCTGGATAGTGGGACCCAGAAAGAACCAACACCAGAAGGATGCCGTCCAGGGTTCAAAAACGGCTTACATGTTTTGAGGGTACCCCTCTTCATCAGAGCCAAATATGTGTGTATGTTTTTATCATTAACAAATAAAGTATCCCTGGAATAATGCACTAGGCTGGTGCACCTTCTGTCTTTAATTTTTTATGCTTCATTGTGTTACAAAACTTTAAAAAAATTGGATTTAGAAATACTTGAAAAAGTAACAGAACGATATTTAGGTAAAAATTCCTTGCACAAAAAAGTGTCATAAGAAATCTGTCTCAAAGGAAAACGTGGGTTAATGTTTGCGTAATAATTTAAATGACTTAAAATACTGAGGTGAAATGACAAAAACAACAGTTTTGTTTGTTTTCTTTACAATGGGGAAATAGACTAGAACCTAAAAATATGGCAGATAATAGATACTATTGCAGCATGACAGGTGAGCTTTTTTCTCAAAGAAGTTGATGCCTGGGAAGAGAAGTGGCAGAAGCGGTCCTAATTTTATGAAATCTCCTACTGGTCTGTTGGGGGCAAGGGGAATTTAAAAAATAAAAAGGTATTTTTTTTTTTTACATAAAGGTTTTGAAACAGCACACAGGATACGTTATGTGGTCAGTTACAAACAATGCTTAGAGGACCCGTTCTTTCATCTTAAGCACCCAATGCAACTGAGGCTCCTGAAATTTTAGAAGTGAAGATAATGAGGATGATAAAGCACATCCCTTTCAACAGAATCTCCACTGTCCAAACATTTTTCCTATAAGCCATCTGTGTATTTCTTTATTATTTCCCTTACCAGTCTGGAGAAGAGGTGACAAGCTGTACACAGCAGCCGATTTTATTCTCATATGGATACCCCATCCGGGTGACCTATAAAAGAAAGAGAACACAACTACTTATAATAGTATTACTTTACACAAGAAAGACATACCTTCTCCCTGATGACTGAAAATCACAGCTTTTAACTTTTCTGCTCTTTTAGGTTATATGTTACATATAAAACACACACACATATTTTACATAGTAAAAAAATAATGAATAAAAATGGATATAAAACATTGTGTAAGAGATTAAAAAACTAACTTCAAATTAGCGTTTTCTAAGTTATAATGTAACATAGTTGGACTGACTTTATTCCAGGTATCGCATCCATAAATGTAAAGGGTAAAGGCACCAAATCATCAGAATAATATGTTATGGAAAAAATGCAGACTTATCACTATTCACATCAAAATATTCTTAAAAACACCAAATACAAAGATGTGTGTCACAGTACAGTGAATACAATGGCTGACCCAGTACTTCTGGTGTAATGATCCTATGAGGAAGTCAAGCTGTTCATGACAAAAACGCGTCAGCAATGTAGTTACATTACGTCATTATGCCGAAAGTACCAAATTGGCCATTTTATTTTCTGTACTGTGGATGGATGTTCCTCCTTAAAGGGGCAACGTGGATTGTTTCAAACAAAAAAATTACTCCTGTGCACAGGGTTTGTGCACATTGTTTGTGAGTATATTTACTTTTGTAAATAAAGCGAGTTACTACACTATGAGAGGTTTTTTATTTTTTTCCCACATCTCACTGGCATGTATGAGAGTCATAGAAACTGCTGACAGCAGGCTGTGAAGAGAATTACCCATATTATTGGGAAGGCTGTTTTTGACCAAATCTAAAAAAAGTTGGTAAATGAGTGGAGGTAATGGGCAGTATTGAAAGCGCACTGATGTGCAACAACAAGTGGCTATTGGGAGCACATTTGTGTTTGTGGATACCTCACTGATTTGGAGGACAGGAAGATTTATATTTATTGTCACAGTGGACTATAAGGGTTGTTTTAACTAATATATTATTTGGCACTTTATGAATTTGCACTTTACGAATTTATATTTGGATATCACCAAGTTATCATTTATTGTATATTATTGATGGTGTTGTTATGAGATATACTCATGAATCACAATTTTCAATTTATTATTATATATTTTTTTGGTATTGTGAGATTTTGGATGTAGGAACACATGTCGGATGCTTGCAGCAATTTATTTATTTAAACATTTTTTTAATATCTTTCTAATATTTGGGCATTTTTTAGTTTTTTTTTAGTATTTGTTGTTGTAAAAAAATATTTTTTGGTGAGCATGGGATTATTTAGTATATATTTACTACAATAATGACATTTTCATATTCTGTGTACTGTGGGAGACCAGACATAGTGAATGCAGGGTCATGGGTTTAGTAACACTTTAATGTCATATTTGTAAAAGTAACAAAGAAATATCGGGTAATGTTATTGTAATTGGTGATTTGAATGATATTCTATGTGAGCAGTAACTTTTTTTTATTTTTTTTCCATAATATATTTCTATTCACTTTATTTTGATGAATATGTATTTTTAAAATCCCATGTTTTATATAATTTTGTTGTGATATTTTTCTTTAGGGAGATTATTGTTATTGTAAATCCTTATTTAACTGTTGCTTGGATCAATATACAGTAAAGCAGTATTAGGCCATTTTTATTGTCTGCTACATATGAAAAGCAACCATTACCCCTTCTGTCATTTACCTTGTCTATGTAGTAAGAAGCAATTGGTGTAATACAAGATGGATCCTCCAGCAACACTGGCTGCATGACAAAGTCTTTAGCAAACCCTGGCCTCCTTCTGGTCTGTTCTCCAAACTATCTTACTAATTCAGCTGAGCAATTGATGGGACAATATTGCTTCTGCTACTCTCCTTAGAAGCACATTGGAACAGCAGACCCTTCTTGTTATCCTGGTACTCAAATTAGTAAAGATTCCAAGAGAATTGACCCTGAAGTAACATCACTACACCCCTGAATGGCTGGAATATGCACCAGACCTAAAGGGGGTATAATGCTGATCCTGGACTCCTCCCCTCTACACCCAATGCCCACCAAAGTAGGACAAAGAAGAAAATAAAAACCATGCTTGGACTAGGCAAAGTTACTGGTTCTACAAACCTTTCCTATGGTCCCACTCAAATCCACCATTGCAGCAGCAAAATCAAAACTTGACCAAAGGCATACAAGATCCCCATTCCTATCAAAGCCTTTACCTCAAAGAAATCTGGAAGCCAGTGTATGTCAGTTATGACAGCCTTGTGCCCGTGTTCTATAGAGGATACCGCACAGTATCTCACAAAATGTGGCTCATTGGATTGCTTGGGTTCCAGTGTGGTCTGTAAGCAGAATGAGGGCATTAGTGCATTAAGATTATAGGTATATATCTGTCACTACTTGTCACCCTATACCTGTTTGGAACACAAAAGCTAAACAAATTTCATTCATCTTGTTAACAATCATAGCTAGCTAAATACAATTTGTCTTTTTTTTTTATATATTCTATCTGTGGAATGCTCGCCATGTAACTCTTTAACTGTGGAATGGATGGATCGCAAGTAAACATGAGAACTTCCATTTCATGGCCATTCATAGTAATAAGACTGCTATGTAAATGCTGAGTTAGCTCACAGTAAACATTTTACAATGTAATACAAAATATACCTTTGTGCTGGTGCTTTTGATTACTCCAGTTTTAGCTGTAAGACGCTCGTTATAAGCAGAGATGTCCCATAACACAACCTGAGTTAATGACAGAATAAATAGAAACTTAGCCATACAACACAATGTATTCATGTGAGAAATGTGATTCATTGTGGATTTTCCTAGCTGTCTGGTTGATGGGCTAACCCATTGGCCTCTATACTTTTTAAGTCCATTATCTGCATACCTGTTCTGGACCAGGGACTTAGCCATACAAGACGATGTATTCATGTGAGAATTTTAAGTCTGTTATCTGCATACCTGTTCTGGACCAGGGACTCAAAGGACTGAAGCAACATAGCCAGACCATTAGTATTTTCAGGAGTGGTAGCCTTTTGGTTCCAATTCCTATTGGTTAACATTGACAGAAACATTGAAGTGTCTGATCAGCAAATCACTTTACAATTAAAGAGAAAGGTGTTAGAACAGGACCAGGGGTGAGGAAAAAATCTGATCACCTCAAGGGTCTTGCTAAAGTGTGGAGGAAGCACTGTTTGCAGATTGAAGATACACTCTAGGTAGATATTAAATGCATAAAATGGGCAGTGCAGTGGATAAGTGGTTAGCACTCTCATCTAGCAGCACTAGGGTCATCAGTTCAAATCCCAACCATGGCACTGCCTGCCTGGAGTTTGCCTGTTCTCCCTGTGCCTGTGTGAGTTTCCTTCCACACTCCAAAGACATGCTGGTAGGTTAATTGGCTCCTGTCTAAATTGTCCCTAGTATGTGTATATATGAATGTGAGTTAGGGACCTTAGATTGTACGCTCCTTGAGGGTTAGGGACTGATGTAAATGTACAATATTTATGTAAAGTGCTGTGTAAATTGATGGCGCTATATACACTGTAAGTACCTGAAATAAATAAAAATAAATGAATGCAGCTCTGTATTCATTAGTGCATCATTACATTTATTTGTTAAATGCAAACAGTATAAGTACCTTAATTTGACCCGGTATCAGCCTGCAGTCCCTGTACAGGAAGAAGCAGTACAAGAAGCCAATCAGTTTGCATGCTCACAGGAAGAGAAAGTAGAGTGATGGGGAGCTCATCACTGTGCTATTTCTCCTTACGCTGTCTAGTTGCAGACTGGGAAGAGTCCAGGATGACAAACATCATTAAACCGACTTCCTCTGGGCTCAGAGGAAGTAGGTTTAATGATGTTTGTCATCAGACTGAGGACATCTATTGACAGAAAAAAGTACTGAAGAGGAAGTCTCTGGGCTGAATCTGAATATTGCAACAAAAGTTGGTTATTTTATCTTTTTGTTGGTTTCTCATTTTTATGTTGCTCTTTTTGCTTGGAGTTCTGTTTTAAGCTTAGCATTGGTCTGAAATGTATGGTAAGAAAATGGAAGAAATGAAAAAGAAGAGGGAAGAGTAAATTAAGTGGGAAGAGTGAGAAGATGTTTGGGGGAAAGATCTCTTTTATTCTCAGGAGAAAGAAATTGCAGAACCTATTTCTAAAAGAAGAGAAGGGACCTGATTGCATAGATGCAAAGGTATCAACCCAAGTTTGGAGGAATTTTGTAAAGGGATCCGTATTAATGCTGGTTATTTCTTCACTGATCAATAAGACATTTAATCTAGCTTTGACCTTTAAAAAAAAGGGACAGAATGTTTCTTCCAGGCACTTATATAGTTTTGTATGCCAAACAGTTGCTACGTATTCTTTGTTTCTTCGCTAAAAAAACAATTTTATTATCCTGGAAAGGTTCTATTGTGCCTACATTGGCCTCCTGGCCGAAGCTCATTAGTACATCTCTTCCCTTGTATAGACTTACTTTAGAGCTTAGGAAAAAAAACAAACTGTTTGATAAAATATGGGGCAAATGGATTTCTAATCCCCTCACCCTCACCTCTCCAGATTCAGAATACTGAAATTATAGTTTTACTCTCCTAGCATTGTTTATCTGTATCTCTGCGCTGGAGTACCCAGATATTTGATACCATTATGCTGTGATTTATGTCTTTGTTCTTTGAGAGACTTGTGAGACATTTTTTTTGTTTTTTGTTCGGTTTTCTTTTTTGTTCATTTTTTAAAAATTTTTTTTTGCATGTGTGTACACTTACGAATAATGGAAAACAATAAAATATATCTAACAAAAAAATTTGTCTCAGGAGATAGCACAGACCACACAGAACATTATACCAATAAGTACAGTACCTGGCCATTAATGCACCCTCCAGCGATGATACTGGGGTCACTCGGACAAAAACGGAAGCAATATATGTCATCTGGACATTCCAGCATCAGCTAAAGGACAGACCAGAAGAAGCTTTCAGGTTACAAACTTACACGTTTACAGTGTCAGGATCGCTAAATAAAAATGCGCTGTAACCCACAGCAACCAATCTATTTTGAGTGTATCATTAAAAGATGAAATACAATAATAGAAATGAGTAATAAGATTAACCCTTTCATGCTGAGAGGTCTAAAGTCTAGATTCCCTATTTTCTTTTCCCCTGCCCCCATTATTGTGTTACCTCTCTCTAACAGGGGCAGCACAGTGGCTAAGTGGATAGCACTTCTGCCTGGCAGTACTAGGGTCGTTGGTTCAAATCGCAACCATGGCACCACCTGCCTGGAGATTGCATGTTCTCCCTGTGCCTGCGTGGGTTTCCTCCGGGTACTCTGTTTCCTCCCACACTCCAAAGACATGCTGGTAGGTTATTGTTGGCTCCTGTCTAAATTGGCCCTAATATGTGTATATATGAATGTAAGTTAGAGACCTTAGATTGTATTCTCCTTGAGGGTTAGAGACAATATACTGTATATATGACTGTAAGTTAGGGACCTTTGATTGTACACTCCTTGATGGTTGGGGACTGAAGTGAATGGGCAATATACTGTATATGTAAAGCACTGCGTAAATTGACAACGCTATATAAGTACCTGTAATAGATAAAATAATTTTCCTCTCAATTCTGTTCCTATTTTCCTATCCCCTCGAACACCTCATGCTTTCCCTCTCTTTGTATTTAAAAGTTGTAAAATGTTGGGTAGCATCATAATATTGTATATTTTGCCACATTATTTATTATCTGATATTCATCCCATTCAGTCACTTTTTCATATGAATGCTGAGTGTCATCTATTCTTCTTAAGATATCTGTTTGCATTATGGCTTATGATGTACATGATGACTTATGACCCTAACAGATGTGAATTTCAGTATGTCTGTTTGTTATTATGCATACCCCTTAAAATATAGAATTATAAAAAAAAAAAGTCTAGATGCCAGAACAAATTAAAGAAAGTCAATATGTGGCATTTAAAACCCAGGACCCTGCGCTCACTATATCTGGTCTCCCCGGACCCTGCACTCACTATATCTGGTCTCCCCGGACCCTGCATTCACTATATCTGGTTCTCCCAGGACCCACTCACTATATCTGCACTCACTATATCTGGTCTCCCCGGCACCACTGCACCCTGCACTATATCTGGTCTCCCAGGACCCTGCACTCACTATATCTGGTCTCCCACAGTACACACAACATGGAAATGCCATTACTTTAGTAAATATCAACTGCTAAACACCTTTTCTCATTTGCGGTACACAGCAATCTAGTGACTTCTATCAATGTCCAGCTGAGCCTATGCCTATGAGGCTGCATAACCCCTGACCCTCAGTCTGGACAGTGCCAAATGGCCCTGTGCTGATCACATGCACCCTCCCAAAGATAACAAAAACTCTAGCCACACACACTAAACTGAGCAGAGTGCCTCCTAGAGCTCTGTACTATTAGCAGATGGATTGGGGACCGTAGAAGAAGGGGGAGGATCAGAGAAGACAGGATCAAACAGCCTTTTTACACAATGCAGAGGATTAAACCCTTAGGTTCCACAGTGAGTATAACAAGCATGCTTTACTGCATATACAGACTGATTTTGCTGTTGTGGGTTTAGTAACACTTTAAAGGGTTAGTTCACCTTTACCAAAAAACTGCCTATGTAGGTAAGGGGTGTCTGTACATAAAAACAAACTGTGCAGCTCTGACTAAAGTTGCTTAATGCCCTTGCTATTGGTGTAGGCCATTTACATACCACTATTCCTGACTGGAATACTCCTATGATGTTGCTAGGACGTTGCTAAGTGAGGCCTAGTCATTACTGCTCACCTCCACTATAACAGGAGTAGGCTTTCAAACGCTGAGCTCAGAGTTCAGGGGGGGAGAGAGATCAGTTTGAATCAGAGAAAAAGCTCACTCCTGTGTGGAGGAGGTGAGCCACAACACTAGGTCTCACTTAGCAACGTCCTGGGAGTGTTCCACTCAGGCTTTGGAAATAGGAGTAATAGGAGCTTTTTGCACAGCACAAATATCAGGATTTGTCTTTCACTGATATGTGAAATCTTATTGGCTCTTATATATTCCTGGGCTTTACACACCATCAGTGTCCTTTTTTCTGAAGAGCTGTGCCTGCCTGAAGACAAAAGCGCTATATTCAATCCATTAAAGGAGAAGTACAGCAAAAGCTCTCTTGTCTGTACTTCTCCTATGGATCGCAGGAGTGCAGTTCGCTCTGCACTACCATGACCCATTTTCAGCTGACAGTTGGGATCCACTGTAGAGTCTGGAGTGGCACCTGCCTCGGCTTCTCAGTGAGCCGCTCCCTCCCCCTCCACAGCCCAACACTCCAGTGAGCGCGGGGGAGGAGGGGGGGGTCAGAGCAGAGAGCGGTGACTGACAGTCACCGCTCTCTGCTCAGAGCAGCTGTGAGAACTCAGCGATCAGCAGTCATGTGATCACTGAGTTCTCACATTTACAGCCGGCAGGGGACAGATGCAGCATCGGACCAATTCCGCATCCACCTAGGCAACTATAAATGGGGAAAAAAAAAAGAAAGTCCACACTTCTCTTTTAAAGAATGCACTAGAAAAATAGATTGTGATCAGAATATCTTTACAAAACAGATCCTTCATCTGAAAAAAAGAACTCTGACTTTACTGTCTTACCTGGGGATGGATGGGGTCACTTAGGCTCCAAATAAGAATCAGCGATGGCTTCAGGATAAGTTTGGAAGATATGTTCACTCGTTCCTCCAGAGAAAGTCGTTCAGTTAATGAAACCGCCACCAAGCCTGGCAGATAAAATACACAACTCTAGCTCAGTGATGAATATATATTAAAGCAG